GGGGCATAATGAGTCCACTTGAACTCCTCGTTTGCATAGTTCTGACCATGTAGAAAGAGCATTGAGTAATACTCTCCAGAAGAGAAACTTGTGATTGGGTTGAAGTCTAGAATTTCATAGTCGTTTCCAAGCTAATTTCTCTGCATTTAGAATTGTTGGAATTGGCACGGGTTGTGGAAGGAGAGCATTGATGGCCAATTGATGCCCTGATTTGACTGTATAATTCCCACGATCAGTAAGTATCCAATGGAGCTTATCCTTTTTATTTAGTCTTGCCGAATCTACAAAGATTCATGTAATGTGGAGATAATATGATATGGAAAGAAATTCCTAAGAGCATGAGTCTTCCATTGACCATTTGGAGTAATAAAGCGGTCCACGGTCAAGTTAGACATAGCTGAAATAGAATGAGCCCCAATCGAATTCTGAGTATCAGGAATCCAGTTTGCTAATAGAGGGATTTCCTTCCCTAAGATGACCTTCCATTTGGTATGATTCTACAGAAGTTCAGCTCCCTACATGATGCTTTTGAAACCCCAAGAGGAGGTGTTGCGAGATTGTACCGGAGGAAACGTCCCATTGTTGAAATCTTTGGCACGAAGAAGCCTAGCCAAGAGAGAGTGGGGCTGAGAGATTATTTTTTTCACGTATGTTTGGCCAAGAGTGCTTGATTGAATTCCTTTGTAGTTTTGAGACCCAAACCACCAAGAAAAGGAGATTTTATAATTTTCTTCCAGGCTCTCCAATGAATTTTGTGTTCCTGGTTGTCTCCTTTCCAAATGAAATTACCCATAATCTGGTCAGCCTTATGTAAGGTGTGAGCAGAAAGTTTGAATACTCCCATTGGGTACACTAACATTGAGGACAAGATGTATTTGGCCAAGATAACTCAACCAGGTAATGATAGTAGCTTTGTCTTTCAATAAGCAAATTTGTTGCTGATTTTTGCAGTGAAATTCTTAAATATAGTAATCTTTTTTTTTCTTGAAATCAAGACTCATTCCCAAATATTTATTATGGAAATGACCCGTGGGGATCTTGAGAGTGGAATGTATGAAGTCCTTCATTTCTGGGCTTGTATTAGCACTAGTGAGGATTGAAGATTTGTGGAAATTAATGCACTGGCCTGAGAAGTTGGTTTAGTTTTCCAATAATCCTGCTAAGGCTAAAACCGTAGACTCTTAGCATTCAATGAAAAAGAGACTATTATCAGCATATATAAGATGACTCACCCTAGGTGCATGGCGGCTGATTTTCACTCCCAAACCTGACAAATTGTGAATCTCTGATGTAATTGCAGAAGAAAGAATTCGCTGACAAAGGATGAACAAGTATGGAGACAAAGGACATCCTTGCCTCAATCCCTTATTTGGATAAAAAGGTGGTAAACTTTCTCCATTAAATTGGAGGGAATAGGAGACTGAAAAAACACAATACAGGATTCAGGAGGTTAACTTGGGTGGAAAGTTTTCCTTGTAAAGGACAACCTATAAGAAATGCCATGAGACCTGATCGTAAGCCTTACTCATATCAAGTTTGATGGCAGCCAAACCTGTCTCACCTTTTTGCTTCCTTATGCATTCAATGACCTCATGAACAATAAGAATGTTCTCACTGATGTTTCTGCCTGAAACAAATCCATTCTGATTCTCGTCAATAAGATCATTCATAATATGTTTGCGACAATTCACGATCATCTTTGCTATGATCTTATACTTGACATTACACAGACTGATTGGACAAAAGTAATTTGGGGTCGTCGGAGTAGAGATTTTAGGGATGAGGACCAAATGAGTCTAGTTCCATTTTGGAGGAAAATACATAGTGTTGAAAGCATCCAAAATTGAGGGTTGGACGTGCGAGCCAATTACGCTCTTGTAATGTTGATAGAATCCCGCGGACATCCCATCAGGTACAGGAGACTTCCAAGGAGACATTTGCTTGAGGGCAGACCAGACTGCTGACTCTGTAAATGGAGCATCTAACTGAGCTGCTTGATCTGTGGTTAAAGATTCACTCACATTTGCAAGAAAACTAGTGAGAAATGAAGAAGACTATGAATTCTGAGAACTTGATTCCACTGACATGTAAATATTTGAGAAGTGACTAAGAAGCAAAGAGCAAAGTTGATCAGGTTCTTGAAACAATCCCTGAGCACATAATTCAGTGATCCATCTGTTCCCTTTTCTTTCTAGCAGCCCATTTATGGAAGAATTTGGTATTTCTGTCTCCAAATTATGAGCATTTAAGCTTGGCCTCGCCAATAGTCCTGTTGGAGCTGTAGTGCTTCCTCCAATTCCACTCGGTGTTGTTCCAGCTGCATACTAAGCTGCTCATCCTATTTATTTCTTTCTCATTGCATTTGAGCTTGTGCCAGTTTCTCAGTCAGCTTGAAGACTAGAGTATCCAGGTTGCCATAACACCTTTTACTCCACTGTATAACTGGTATGTCAATTTAAATACATAGTAATCAATGAATATTAATAACCATAGTCAACCATGAATTATGACTTATGAGTATCATTAAACAAAATATAAGTTTTTATTTTTAGAACAACTCTACAAAGAATGAATCAGATAAATAGTAATCTTGATACATTATAATTCAATATTATACCCAAAAGGGGGGTTGGGGGGGAAAGGGGTTTGGGAATTTGCACATGATAAAAAACATAAAAATCAACAAGCAATATTATAAAATTGTACAATTGATTGTTTTGTTTAATGTTTTCTTTTCTTTCATTTCCCTTTTCTTTTTGAGGAAGATGTTCTTGAAAATGATTGTGTATGTCAATTTTTTTATGGATTTTTTCTCCAATTTTGAGAAATAAATGGAAATCGGAATATGCAAATGCTGTGTGAAGTATTAAAAACTTACCGGTTTAACCGTAAAAAATCAGTTCCTAAATAGAACTGATTAGTAGAAAAAGTCATAACAAATAGCTCAATTGATTGGTTATTTCGTTAATCGTTATCATTAGTAAACGAATTAACCGCCACTTATATGTCGCATATGTTATTTTGCACGTCATGTAATTGTTCCCTTTCGTCTAATTTTGAGAATCTTGGGACACAATGAACTAATTTAAAATATTTGAGACAAATTCGCAAACATAATACAATATGCACAGATATTCCCAAATGGTTCTTAAGTGTTCAAATTGACTGGAAGCATCTCTCCTAATTTTGGTTGAACCATAGACAACCGACTGCACCGGACCGGACCATCCGCACTGTTCGTCGTGCCTTCTTCGGAAAAAATATCGTTTTTACCCAAAGTTCTGCCCTCGTCGTCAATTATACCCAATAGATTTTCGGTTAACCAACTTTACCCTAATGTTTGAAATTTTTGCCAATTTCGTGCAATCGGTCCATTTTCTGTCTAAATTAACGATCTCCATTAGTTTTTTAATAAAATAATAAATTTAATTACAAAAACACCTCATTAATTTTTAAAAACTTTAAAATAACCCCTAAAATATATAAAAATAACAAAACAGTCTCTTTTACCTTTTTAATTTATTTTTCTCTATCTTGTTCCATTTCTCTTTACAACTTTTAATGACCACAAAGCTGTATTATATGTGTTTTAAAAAAATATTTATTTATTTTCAAACTTTACTGCAAAAATTAATCTTTGTATAGTTGTAACCCATGATTGTGTTTATATAAGTATATTAATTTTTTTAATAATATAGTTTAGCAATAAAGACACTATTTTTCTGATTTATTTTATTCTTCCTAACATAAAGATTAAAAATATTTAAATGAAACTAATATTCCACATAAAAATATAATATTAGCTCAAATAAAAAAATATTAATATATTTTAGTGTATTACAATTTCACCCAAGAGACTATAACTTGCACTAATATCATTCATAAAAAAAATAATTAAAATATAAAATAATTAAGAGCCTATTTTTTTGATTTTTTTTATTCTTCCTAACATAAAGATTAAAAACATTTAAATGAAACTAATATTCCACATAAAAATAAAATGTTAGCTCAAATAAAAAAATATTAATATATTTTAGTGTATTACAATTTAACTCAAGAAACTATAACTTGCATTATAATTCATAAAAAAATAACTAAAATATAAAATAATTAAAACCTTATAAAAATCCTCTAAACATAAGTTTTCCTTCTTGAACCTAAAATCTATTTTCTATCACAACAACTTATTACTATATTGTTACCTCCATTCATTTATTTTAAATTAAAATCATATAGAATAAGCTAGTAAGACTTCCTTTATAGTAAGATATATTAATATCTCAAATAATTATTATAAAATGTTAAATCCTCGCATTGATAAGTATAAATATTTTTTTATAAACTATGTTATGCCATGTAGTCTCTCTAGTTACATTGTAAGACACTAAACTATACTAATGAGCTTCATTTAAATGTTTTTAATCTTTATGTTAGGAAGAATAAAATAAATCAGAAAAATAGTGTCTTTATTGCTAAACTATATTATTAAAAAGATTAGCATGCTTATGTAAATACAATCATATGTTACAACTATACAAAGATTAATTTTTACGGTAGAGTTTGAAAATAAATAAATATTAAACTCATATAATATACTTTTATGATCATTAAAAGTAGTTGAGAGAAACGAAACAAAATAGAGAAAAATGAAATAAAAAAGTAAAAAGGGACAATTTTGTTATTTTTATATATTTTAGTATTTTTTTAATTTTAAAAAATTACTAGGGTGTTTTTGTATTTACATTTATTATTTTATTAAAAAAAATAACAAAAATCCATTAATTTGGACAGAAAATGAGCTGATTAGACGAAAATGGCGAAAATTTCAAATATTATGGTAAAATTAACTAATCGAAAATCTATTAGACATGACGACTTGGGTGGGGACATTTTTTTCCTCCTTTCTTCCTACCTAATCTAATCGATAGATATACATAAATATATTGATATCGCCGAAATTCATCCCCAAATTCATTCCTCTCCGATTCCAGACTCCAAAAATGGCTATGACTCGTCTCCTCTCTCAAACCCTAATCCACCCCGCCAAATCCTCAGCTGCCCCTCTTTCCCCCATAATCCTTACCCACCGATACAGGTCCGGCAAGGCTCAAAATGCCCAAATCATTGAAGTCGACTTGGACGGTTCCTCTTCCTCCTCTTCGGCCGCTTCCTCGGATGTGGAGAAGATCAGCGGTGGGATGCGGAAGCTTGAGGAGGTCATACAGAATATTATAGTGCGCCGTTCGGCACCGGATTGGCTTCCTTTCCGGCCCGGATCTTCTTATTGGGTCCCGCCTCCGTCTCAGAATATCAGGAATAGTCCTTTTGTCGGTGTCGCTGAGGTTCTCGGAAGATTATCCGACGCTGCCCGGGTGAATGCTGGGGAGGTTCAGAGCCACAGTAGGAGCCTGGCCTTTGGTGGGTCGTCTTCAATATCTGAATTGCTGTCCCCAGATGAAGCTATGTCGATTGCGTCTTCCCGTAGCTGGCCCTCCTCTTCGTATTTTATTGAAGGTAACGAATTTTTGACACTCAGTTAATTGATCCCAATTTTTCAGGGTTTACAAGGAATAGACGAGATCAGCTTGAATAATGGACAATTGGATTGTTTCTGTCGTGTCCAATTTTTAAGTTTTTCTTTTGCTTAATGAGTCGATTATATGATTTTATGCCTCTGACTGGTGTATTGCATTTGCATTGATTACGGTGAGACTGTCTTAATGCGATAGGGTACCAGGATATTACTTTCTGTTATAGATTTTAGTATTCAAACATGTTATCTATTGAATCTGTTAGAACTATCTTGTTCTTGTCGACTAGTTGTGCAGGATTTTTGTCCGTGAGTTCATTCTTATGTACTCTTGTACTCTGCTAGTACAGCTTAAGTGCTCAGGTGCAATTTTTGTGTCTAGCGAGGTTGTTTGGAGATTCTGCTGTATTAGAGGGATCAAGGGGTTTGGAATGTTTTATAACCTGGCAGTGGATGTTTTATATTAGAATTATAGAGCAGTTCAAAGTATGTTTCACTCGCTCTTATGAAATTCCTCAGTTAATTACAATTCCGATTTTGCTTGCTGACTGAAATCCCACCTAGTTCTCTGACCTCCTTATAGTTCAACGCCAAAAGAGCATGTTCAGATATAGGTGCTGATCAGCATTCTTGCATGGTATTACGGGCGCAGCTCTTCTCTTTGAAGCGTGATATTCGGAATCTCACAGTTTCAATATAGAGATCCATCATGAAATAATATGACCACCTTCTACCTGTCGGAGTTTCTTTTTGTTATTGCTTTTTTTCATTGTTGGGAAGAATCTTTTGCAGCCCATTATTTCTTCCTTAATCACTTAGTTTAAGCCCCTGCTATTGCTAGAGTTCCCTCTAACTAAGAAACATACTGTTTTGAGTATTACATGATAGGTTTTTCTAAAATGATGGCTTTCAATTATTAGTAAAGGAGGCCGTTTGTCTTTTCCTTTTTTTTTTTTATTTTTGGTAAATGCCGTTTGTCTTATTTTACAGAAATGATTGCTTTTTTTGGGTAAATGCTGTTGGTAAATGCTTTTTCTTTTCCCCAGAAATGATGGCTTTTCTTTTTTTTGGGTAAATGATGTCTGTTAGTCTTATTTAACATGGATTGGCGTTCCTCTTTTCCCCCTCTTTGGGGATGCATATTTGCTTGATCTGTCTGAATTTATGATGTCATTCCTCGAAATTGATTAACCTCTATGACAGATGCTGCCTCGTTTTACTTTCATTTGTTTGAGGCTTAGTTTTCTCCTGAAAGGGCAATGTTCATTTCAACAAACTGGTTCAGAAAATAAGGCAAATGTCACTCTGCATGTGAAATGTCCTATCATGCAGTTATTCTCAAGATGCTTGATCAATAAACCTACAAATTTGGTTATAAGAAAAAGGAGGGGGGGGGGGTGGAATACAGTCGTTCTCTGGTATAACCGTTCAGTAAAGATTACTTCACCCAGTCTTTATATTCGTTTGGTCGGTTATTGACATTTGATTCTGGATTGAAGGTATTGCACCATCTTTTCCAGTTATGGAGGCTGAAGTGGAAGTAGAACTAAAAATTCTGGACAACACAAAGGGTGTGTCTTCCGATGAGGATGAGCAAGGATGAACAATGCTGGATTTAGCAGTTAACCTGGTCAGAGTAAGTCATGTTTGCTTTTTCTTGTTCTTGGCTTAAACCCTGAACCCGTCCCCCAACTCTCTCCTTCGCATGCACAAACACAGGTTAGAATTCAGAAGTTGCAATGATGTATCTAATTGATTTTGGCTGCCATTTCAGGCTTCTGTATATACAAGCTAATGGAAGATATGCACGCTAATCAGCTCCGTTGAAGAAAGGCAAGTGAGCGGATCGGATATTGCATAGATGAATCAATGATGTCGCGTTCAGAGCTTAAAGTTCATCTCATCTGTGTCCCAAAAGTCTTGCTCATCCTTCGATTGTATGTATTAAAAAAAAAATGTATGGTCCTGTTTGTGTAGTTGAAATATGCATGTGAACATTAATAAGCTGCTTGGTTATTATGCAATTCGCATCATTTTTTCTTTTCCATGTGTTTCTGACTTCTTTCTTTGAGGTTCAGAGTCTAACTAGCTCGCACTAATTCGATAGAAGTTCTATTTTATCAAATTCATTGATGATTAGAATCACTTCACTTTCTTCTAACGGATTTCTTCGTGCATCGCATTGTATAGACAGAATAAACTCCATTGATGATACTCTGCATAATCTATTAACAGGAACTTGAACTGTGATCAATTTGAGAAACAAAGCCTTGTATGCCTTGGCATGAAAGTAGTTAGTTTAAACGTGTTGCGACAATCAGTTTTCATGAGACTTGGATGAGTTTTCCAAAAGTCACATTTGAAGGTCATTAGTAAGAACTCTTGAATCATCTCAACTTTTTCCCCATCATTTTGACGTCAAGAAATTTATTCTGAAAGAACAACACAAAAAAGGGAAAATATTTCATTTGGGCAATACAGGGGAAACTTCGAAATGCATTAAAAAATAAATGGAAGGAATTCTTGAGCAGTCTGCCAATGCCTAACCAACCAATACAAAAAATCATCCTTCTTTTGCTTAAATTTGAACTAAAATACAATGGAACAAAACTCTTGAAGCTTATTCGTTCAAATATAATCATTTTATAAGACTGATTTGTTTCTGCAGTTTATTTGAAAAATATATATAAAATGGAATGATATGATTTTAGATAGCCCAATATGTGTTGTACTTAACCATGATGGTCATTACATTAATTTTGATCACATGGGGTGAATGATATCATATTAAAGTTGATGGCAAAGATAATGGAAGACTAAAGTTAAAAGATGGAAGGAATTTGTCCAAAAGGTGATTCGTGGAGTTGGAATGTAGTCGACAAGTCAAATGGAGAAAAATGCAGAAACAGTGTTGATCCTTCTGTCAATCAACGACAAGGTCGACATATAGGCATTAAGAAAAAAATTGGTTGATGACAAAGTAGATGATGAAACCCGAATTTCCGAAGTAATGCTTTTCAACAATTCTTCTTAAAGTTTTACAAGATTTTCGACCTTCAACTTGTCAAATCATATTCCAATAATGATTTTCCAAGGTGGTGGTTGAGACTTGAAATTTTTATTCGAAAGAAATTATATTTTATTATATTTTTCATTTTAGACTAGGTTTTTGTTTATTATTAATGTTAGATTTCGAATTTTCCTTGATTTTTTATCCTCACACGTTTTTCTCCTTAGTTTTAAGTATATTTTTAATTAACTAATTGCGACATGTGCATATTTAATTATGATATTTTTAAAATTTAAAAAGTTTCTTGTCTAAAAAATCCTAATAAAAATTGTAATCGGATTCTTCTTTTCCCTAGCTGACCTTGGCCGACTTGTGGTCTATAAGTAGAGATCCTAATTGTTGCTTTTGAGGATAGAGTATATAAGTTTTCAGTAATAAAAGAATTTTATTCATAAATAGAGGAGATCTTTTCTTGTTTTTCTTATTTGTGTGAGAATGTGCATTGCACAACTTTTTTAGTTAGAACTTTGTGTTGATGTGATTTTGAACTTATAATTTGTTCATAGGTGGAGTTAATAGTTAAACATTTTATTGGAGCCTTTGTCCACTTGTTCTAGTCATAATGGTGAGATTAAAGTTAGTTAAGAGGTGGTCGATATGGGCGGAACTAAGGGGGTTTCAATTGCCCTGTAACTCTGTTTTTTTCCTGTTGCGTCGACCCCCCGATGGTAGAGAAACAACACTGGAGAAGATGACTAGGTCTTTTCTTGTTTAATTTTCAAAAAGTGGCCTATTTGAATTGGGCTTGGTTTAAAGAATTTTAAAAAATGGCTAATACTTGGGCTGGGCTTTGACCTTTTCAAAACTACTCATCATCTTTAATTCTTTTTTATTTTCTTTTGCTTGTTAGACCAAAACGAATTTTTTTCCCTTAAATGCATTCAGGAACTTAGTTAATAGGTAGTTTACTATTTTACCAAAACCATCCTTTTAATTGGGGCTGACAAGTATATTTCATTAAAATTTTAAAAATATTCCATAAAATAGAAAAAAAATTATTGTTACATCATCACTAAAAGTAAACTTATTTCAAACAGTTTTTTTTTTTTCAAAACCCATTTTATATTATTATATTGATATTTAAAACATTTTTTTTATGTGTAGTGAAGCTATGTTAGTAATATCGACCTCTGGTGCTAAGCTTCTAGTTCCGCCACTGGCCGACATGGTTATAACCTCAAACCTTTCTTCCTTTTCATCCTTCGCATCTTTTTGCTTCATATGATTCATCCTTCGATTGCACAATTCTTTATTTTAGTATGTGGTTCATAAATTAAGAAGGCAAGATCATCAAATGCTAGACATGTTTCAAGCTTCTGCATATCTATAGTACTTAATTAAAACAACATACAAGTTGCTGATGCGTCAGCATCACAGTAAAAATTTTCCTTCAAAGGCTATTTTCAGTACAAAATCATTTTTGACATGTGACATTTTAACTATTCAGAAAAAAGAATGAAATAAATAAATAAACAAATCCCATAATTATGACTACATACTAACCCCTTAATTATAGCTATATATTAATCCCTTAAAAGTTAAAACAACAACATTGAATTGATAAAATCAAATGTCAAATGATCCCCTTAAATAATTTATTTAGATTAACTCAAACGTCAAATAAATAATTTGATTAAGAAAGTAAGTATGCCTCCCTTTTAGCAACGGTAACGCGCATTGATTTAAATCCTTACAAATTAGCCAGAGTCCTCGTCATCAACTGGAAAAAGTGCAATCACCCAAAGCCATGTCATCCACGTCTCACCCAAAACAATTCATGTAATCATTAATTGAAATCAAACTTAACCCATTCATAACCATGTTATCATCATAATAATAATAAAAAAAAATCAATAATCAAGAATCCAGGGAAGTTACAATTGCAGAGGGAGCATCGAAAAAAAAAATGTAGCTGCGGGCCTTATGTTTTTTCGGTGACTTGGAAATGAAGCTTAATAAAAAGTTGGATTGTTCATATGCAGAAAGAGGAAGAAAATTTTAACTAACATTTGATTCATACGAATATAAAATTTTGTATGGGCAATGCTTACTGCATGAAGAACTTGACTTTTAGCCCACCCAATATATTTTCACTTCATATCTCCATGGCAGTTAATTAATAATTGATTTGGCCACTCAAATTACTTTGTCTTTGATCCCCTTCGGGCTTTGTTATGTACTAATTAATGTATTTAACTTATTAATATTAATGTAAAAGTATAAAATCATTTGAAATTTACTAGAACATGATAAAGTGTTTGTCGGCCGGACAATCGCCGGGGTAAGACACTATAATTTTTGCACAATGAAATATTTTTCTGAGACACTAAAATTTTAATATTAACTCAGAAGTGAATGTTAAAAATTCCTTGGGTTATGCTCTTCATTTGTTGGTTTTTTTTTTTTTCAAATACATACTAATTTTTTAAGTTGGGTTCCCGTAACCGTTGGGGTTAAGACACTAAACAATAATATATGCTTGTGTTAAAACAACTCCTGGGCGACGACCCTTTACTGTGTTCCTATTCGATATTGTTATATTATATAAAAGGATATTTATTTTTTTTCAAAAAATTTATTTTCTTTTTTTACACAGATTGTTATCCGGGCATTCGCTCATGACAATAACTAGTTATAGTGGATCAACACAGAAAGATCAACATTGTTTTAGTAGCCTTGTCGATTTTGATTTCAAATCGACAAACTTCCTTCTAGACAAATTTCTTTCATCTTTTGGCTTTAGTCTTCCATTATCTTTGATATCAACTTCAATTTGATACCATTTATCCCCTGTGTAATCAATGTAATGGTTATGTATGACACATAATGAGCCATTTAGGATTACTTCAAGGAAAACAAAAAATTAGAGAGAATTCTCCTATTCTCCAGGTCATATTTTATGTAATGGGATTGTTGCGAAGAGACATCAATGAAGTTACAACCAATGCGGAAAAGATTATCAATCAAGTTTGATGTAATGTTTTGAATAAATGTGATTTGTTTTTCTCTCCCTCTTTTTTTTTTTCTTATGCACACATGGTGCATGCATTATATATTTTTTAGTTATTTTCCCGTTATTATTAATTTTTTTCCGTAAAAGAATGTGTAGCACAACAAAATCTTATGAAAAGAAATTGATTAAGAAAATCTTATGCATGTTCTCTTTCTTCCCCACTTTGACTTTTTTTTTATTACTAGCGGGGTTGGCCGCACGAGGTGCGGCTGGGTGATGAGGAGCTAAGATGTTGTGGAAGTTTATATGCTAAAGTGTTTGTTAATCAATCGTATTGTATATTTATGGTATTTGCACGGAAATTATAACTGTAAAAAACGTGAAAAGTATACAAAATTATATGTTACATATATTGATGATAATGTTTTATGAGAGAATTAAATTACAAAAAAGTGAAAAAACGTATTTTACAATGTTTTGTACACAAATTTTTCAAGAAAAGAGAAACAACGGATAATTTTTATATATATAAGATTACATGGGATGTAAAGGAGTCTTTAATTCAGCTTCAAGGATTGTGCTTCTTTCTAACAGCAGTTACAGACTCCAGTCCATCTTCAATGCAGTTTTGAGAGCGTATTTCCATATAGGATGGCAAAGGAATCTCTTCAGCAGTTCATCTACTTCTCTTTCAAACCAAGAGTTGTACGTGCATTGACCGCAGTGAATACATGTGCATTTTTCCGGGGTGGCCATTTTGTGTGTTTGAAATTGCTATATAATTGTGATATTTTGTACTATTTAAAGATGATGTTGTGGAAAAGGTGAAATGATTTGTGTGTTGTTGGTAGAATAGGAAAGTTGTAGGTGGTTGGAAACAATAACGTGGCAATTTTTTAAAAGAGTGAAGTGGCAATTTAAGAAATGTAGGGTTATAGGTGGACAAAAATGTGGCAGTGTAGTAAGAGGTGTGTTGTGGTGGGTGGTATACGTGGATGAAAAGTGGGCTGTATGGGTTATAAATTTTAAGGATGAGATGGCAAGTGGTTTGAAGAAATAAATAATATAAAAACTTGCATACTGATGTGATATGGATAGTGGACTTAAACAATGAATTAAGAGAAAGACAAAAGGAACAGTAAATTTAAGAAAGTTTGACCAACAATGAGAAAAGGAATGAAAATCACATCAACAATGAGAGTTTGCAACAGGGAGGCTTCCCTTTATTCTTTTTTCACTGAAACTGAAATCAGAACCAATATTAACAGCAGACATACAATAGATTCATTTAGCCATCACATAGAATTAGTTTAAACCTTCAACTTGTTTTCCCAAGAATCTCAGTTTAAATGTCTTGGATTCTTGTGTCAGTTTCTAGGGAGAAAATCACACGAAGACATGCGTACATTGTAGAGATTTGAAGTTTAACAAGAAACTACGTATATTTGTAAACTTTATGTGTTCTATAAACCAAATGTTGTTGAAAATGTTCTGAAACTGAAAAGCAACGAAAGAGCTAGTAAAATGCACTTTATTAGACATACCATTTACTAAGTTTTCCTTATTTAATCTAACCACCCGCAAAGAAGAAATGACTTTGATTTTCAGCTTCAACAGAACAATGGCTATAACAGCAATTTGTAAGGACAAACAAACAACAACAATGGTATTTTTAATCTGTTGGAATCTTTTCAGGCTATAATAACATATACTCACCAGTTAAATAACATATATAGCATGGTCAAATAACATATACAGCATATACAGCATGAACATATATAGGCTATAATAATATATACAGCGTGGTGAAATAAAATGAACAAGCTCGTATTGCCAGAAGTCTGAAAAGACAGAAGTATTGCACCATATGAAACTACGTTTTCAAATCAAGTACATGAAAAGACAGCTGTTTAAATCTTTTCAGACTTCTGTTTACACAAAAACGTCTTTTAACAAACACGTTTTGGACAATCGACAACTGCGTTTTCAAATCCGTAAAAACAGTGATGCTAAACCAGTACATGAAACTGTTGAATTATATCCAAAAGCAAGGAAAATCAAAAGTATTGCACCATATTAATTACCAGAGTGAGGCTATAGAGTTTTTGTTCTAATTTTCAGCTAACATCTTACCAAGAAAAAGTGACACATAAACTGACTAAATTGCTAACTTCACTCTCAGTTTTTTCAGTCCGAAGCTCGCAGTAAAAACAAAACATTAATCAATCAAGCAGATACAATACAATTTCCCCAACTCAGTAAAGGAAAAACCATCGAAGATTCCAAAAGGGGGGAAAAACCCAGGCAAAGTACAGAGACATTACATCAAAGATACAATTACCTACAATCTACATCAAAAAGGAATTTTTGGTTTTTGTACACATGGTGGTGATTGGAATCTCTACATTACTGTAGAAAGAAGACCTATTTGGAATTTTTCATGGCTCCCTGTAGTGATTTTTTGTGTTCGTTCATTTTGAAGAGCCATTGTGCCAGAATTTGGTTCTGTTTGCAACAATGGTTTAGCCTTTATTATGAGCAAAATTTAGGTGCAAAACATAAATGAAAATTGGCCCCAAAAAAGGAACTTGGATTCAAATAATGAGAGACCAAATACAAAAGTTATGGGAGACCAAATTTTCTGAAAACTTCAATTGTTAATATTCAAACTTAAATTCTACAGAAACTATAACTTTTTTTTATGAGTCTGAAACTGAAATAAACCTCATCAAATATAGAAGAAATTTATGCAAATAAACCTGAGAAAACAACTGAAAGGATAGGCGTAATTAATTTAGATATATCCTGTTCAAATGAAGTTTTTGGAAAATCTATAACTTCGTTATGAAATCTGTAAAAACAGCGATGAACTACACTAAATGAAGGCGATATTCATAAAAAGAAGTCCTTGAAAATGATTAGGTAGGTAAGAGAAAAATGTTTCACAACAGAACACATCAAATCTGATTTTTTTGCAAGTTAACTCTAAATTTTCATGTATTTTCCTTGGTTTTACTATACATCTTTGCACTTTCACAACACAAATAAATCATGGATAAATGTTCAAAAATAGGGTTTAACTTTACATTTTTGCACTTCTACAATACAAATAAATCATGGATTAATATTCAAATACAGTCACTAAGAACAATGAATAATAGGTGACAACAAAGCATAAGGTTCATAGAGATTTCTAACTTCAATTTAAGACAAATAGTCTTAATATGCAACGGAATACAATCAAAATCAGGTCATCAAAACCAAGTCAAAAAAGCACTTAACAATCAGTCATCAACTATTGTAATATAGTTATACTTTTAGCATATTACCAAACCCAAAATCTAACATATTTTGTACAAAATCTAACATATTTACACAAAATTTAACACAAAAACTAACATATTTGAAACATGAACACTATTAACTATTTACACAAAATACATATTTACGCAAACATGGGCTCTAGGTATCTTTATGCTAGCCTATGTTTACCAAAAAATAGAGACTCAGTGTTGCTCTATTGTTGTTTTTTTAAAGATGTAGCTAGAGTGTGTTCCTGTTATATGCTAAGGGATAGATCTCATTATCTTTTAATCTTGTTTTGCATGTTTTGTGGATCTGTGCGTTTGTTTTGCTGCTGATGAAAGATTTCTTTTCACAGGTAGAGTTTGTATTCCTGGCTGGTTGGATGCACTGGTTTCTTCGTCAGTCATTTCAACATCTGTGGTTGGTGTTTTCGGGGAGTTTGAAGAAGTTTCTTTGTCACTGGATTCTACTGCTGTTGAGGATGATGCAGATGAGGGAAGATACGTGGTGACAGTGTATCTTGATGGTGTTTCTTGTTGAATCTTGATGGTTGATCGCAGGTGGAACATTCGGCCTGAATTTTCAAGGTTGTTGTTGATTTTGTCAATGTCTAGATGTTTGTTCTGCGAAAGTGAAAAAGAAAGTTAGATAGTTGTTTTAGTTTGTTATTTTTATATATAATATCTGTTAAATAGTGATGTTTATGAAATTTCAAAAGAGAGAATACCTGGTTGTTGTATTTAGCCAATTGGTCAGCTGATATGGTGAGGAGTTTCTCGGCTTCATTTCCTTCTATGGAAACGTTGAGAGTGCCAGTTTTATCAGAGAGTTGTATTTGAAATTGTAGCCTATAAATGACAGTGGTTAGTTGGATAATATATGTAAATTTTGCTTTGCTAAACAAGTCTGGTGATAGAGGTTACTTACGCAGGTTTTGGACATGGTTGCTCTGTTTTACAGTATAAACAAGGAAATTTTTTCTGGTAAGATGCCCCACATGTTCTGAAGCAATTTGGACAAGTAAGGATATAAATGCGTTGATCCCTGTCGACAATTTTTGGCTTCGCTTTTATCCAAAATGATCTTGGCTGCATGTAATGATACGTGTGAGTGAGCAAAAATTAAAACAAAATCATAAGATAAGTGCACATTGTGAAATATCGGGTTACTGGAACTTATCACTTGGCCAATTTTTCGAACATGGGAGTCGCTTGGTGCCGTTATTGTCTCATGCACTTTTTCATATAGCTTTTGGGAGATAACCGCCTCTATGTATTCATTGTTCGTGTTGATCCTATAATGAGAGTAATTTCAGTCACAATCAATTATAAAAAAATGCAAGAAAACATAGAAAAGAAACATAGAAGAATAATTTCAGATTATAAGTTCATTTAATGTTATGTAGAAATCACATCAAACTTTAATAAACATCGAAGAGTTAGGAAGAAAGAAATGTGAAAAAGAGCTAAACACCGAAGAAAAACAAGCATATGAACAGAGAGATGTAAAGTGATTTTTCTGCACTTTAATACATCATGATTTTTCTGCACTTTAGTACAACACTAAAATAATTAAATATTAGTAGGTTCAATTTCGATATGGGGATGTTTACAGACCAAGAGCCACATCTGAGGATTGAGTCAAAAGGTAGTAATTTACACATATTATAGACAAGTAGCAAGAAAACCTAAGGAACAGAATCCTAATGACCTATTGTCAAGATTACAAAAAAAAAAAAAAGACGAATTCTAATGCCCTAAAAATCAGTAAAATCAACTTCTTCAGTTTGATATCCTTTTATAGAATTTGTATATTACAGGTATGACTTTTAAGAACACTAATTGCATCTTTTACGGTAAATCAAAAAGAAAACTTATAAAAAACAATTTGCAAGTAAAATGTCATTTTTCAGTTCCATTTTTTTTTAATCAGTTCGAGGTAAAGAGTTACAGGGTAGAGCAAAGGCTGAGAAGATTAAGCCGAAAATAAACAGTGATGACACGTGTAAAATTTGATATACACATTGATGTACCTTTAATACTCATGTTACTGTTTAAAACAACTAAATATTGAATTGCATTTTTCCACATATAAACTAAGGTACTGCTGAGATAGTGCACTATTCTAACTCCTAAATCAACAATGAGAATTTTCCGCAGACAATAGAAATAAAAAAATTTCAACATACATGCTTTTGTAGCCATTTCATGGGCTTCCAAATCATAATCTTCAACTAAAGTAAATGGCTATGTCACTTAACCATACTTTCAACTACTGCATGCAAATTTAATGCAAAATCTGATGAAAATGAAGCAGTCGTGTAATAACCCAAACAAGTACTACTAAACAAGCTCTTGGAAATCAAATTGAAATTTCATTCTTCTGAGTGAAAGAATACTATGATGAACAACAGACCAAATGGTGGAGCAATGGCAAGAATGAAACTAAATTGTATGACCCTGAGTGATCATGAAATATCATAGCAGAAAGTCACAAATTTCACAGAACACTTGCACAGAATTTATGGGTTGATGGGTGGACAACCAGGATCAATTTTTGTTTTTTTCTCATTTATTTTCTTTGTTTTTTTACTTTTGTGGTTTTTTTTCTTTTCCTCAAACTCAATTGATAATAGATCAAAAGATAGCAAACAACAACATGAAAATTATATAGTGAAGAGAAAATATGAAATTTAAATAAACAAAAGTTGTTTGTTAAATTCACACCCATTGAAAACTAAGGTTCTAAATCAATTTACAAATTTTAATTACACTTACCATGATTCTAATTCTTGGGCTTCAGCAATTGGTGCGTCAAACAGAAGTACGCTATTTGGCTGTGCATTAACAGAGATACCTGCGGTTCAAATTTGTCAATACATGTAAACAGAAGGTAGAAGAAGATGGAAAAAATTGTCTAGTCTTACCGTGGAAAGAGGTTACAGCCAGTCTTGTAGCGAGTATGACCGGATTTTTGTGGATGTTGTTAACCAATCGTTGTCCTTCTTCATGCAAAGATTCTTCCCAGAGACTGAGAAGCATTGGGCAGCGTCTGTAAGTTCAAAGCAATGTGTTAATAATTATACACTTTAAGGATAAGTGAATAAAAAACAGTAGAAAGTATGTTATTTCCAGCATGGTACATACTCTTGATTTACAATGACGAATTCCTGTACATTTTTCCCTTTTGTTGCAACAAAATGCACTGGATGAAAATGTATGACACTGCATAATACATCTAAGAAAGAGAAATATTATGAGTAGATGAAGATATATATAAACTGTTTGAAATTGCATATTACTGAAATGTTTATAATGCAAAAGAAGAAAGATTTACCAACTCTGTCTTCTGATGAGCCCATGAAATCCGAAAACTGTGCAAATGGAGTCAACTGATAAACATTGTCTAATGGAAGCTCTTCTTCTTTTTCAGTTGCCTTGATGTATGCACTTCTGTTGAGGATCATTTGATACTTGTAATCCACCATGATGGGAAAATTTCTATTCAGTAGTATGATTTTTCCATTGCCGATATAATAGGTTTTATATAATTTTAAAACTTCGTTTAAATCTGGGGCATCTGGGTGGAAAACTATGCATTGTATTTTAGTGTGCTGCAAAAGAACCATTTCAGTTAGATAAGTGAAAGATAAGGATTTGACAATTAATATAGTAATGGAATTTAGGAGAAATCATCTGTTTTTATCACTGGTAAGAAATAATTGTACAATGGATTATACCTCATTATCGATGAATACAAGTTTCAGTTGTGTCTTCCCAGATTGAAGCGTTCTTACGGGAGTCTTTTCAGCAACTAACACTCTAATACACCATTCGCATAGCTGAGGTTCAAGGCTGACAATTGGTATGCATTTTTCTTCGACCTGTCTACAAAGAGTAAAAATGCAGATTATAATTGTGCAGTACACTACTAAAATCTATAGAGAATAAAAATGTAAATTACATATGTTCATCAAAGTAAAAAAATAGAAAACAGCAAAAATACATACTGTTCCATAGGAGGAAATGCTGTTACAATAATGTCTACATAGAGATATATATATATATATATATACATTTTTTTTTAATCTGCATTTGCCGCTGTTAAAATTTCACGGTATACAATGTTTTTAGTATAATCAGTGCCTGATAAAAGTGGTGTTGTAGGTCTTATCAATACTCTAATTTGTTGTGGCCCTTGACAGTGCAACATATAGTTGACCATGAGAAAATACTGGTTCTTTTAAGTATACTCCTACAAAGTCTAATGTTTGGCCTTGTACTTTATTAATTGTCATTGCAAAACATAAGCGTACAGGAAATTGTTTTCTTTTAAATGGAATAGAAGAGAAGTTGTCTAATGGAGCATTTATTGTGATTCTATGAATAAAAACTGTTTTTCCACTATATGTACCAACTGAAATTTTAGCACATATATATTATTGGTAAAATCAGTGCAAACAAGACGTGTTCCATTACATAAACCTTCAGTTGGGTTAATGTTTCTAAGCAATATGATAGGGGCATTTTTTTTTAAAATCAATTTGTGTGGTGGTAATCCTTGAGGTGTCAAAGAATGGAAAAGTTCTTCTTGATCAGGAATTGAACATGCACTTGTACTTTCGTCACAACTAAGATAAATTATTTCATTACCAGATAATTTTTCAATTATACTATTATTAATTTCATGAGCAAATTCATTTCTGGTTGTAAGTATACTTCGATTTACGAAAGGAGTAATGTCAAAATCAGAAGTATCAATACCTGGAAATACTGTATGGATTAGTATGTATAATGAGGTAGTTTCATCAGTAAAAGAAATATTTACCTCTGCTGGTAATTTAATTTCACCTCTATTATTTGTCTGTTCAGTATCATTTCCTATTCTTAATAGATAAGATGAAAAATAAGGATCAAAACGTGCTCTCATATTTTCCTGTAATCTAAGCTTTGCAAAATGATTCCACAAAGGTGACATGACAATTGAAGCATTGATGACATCATTTTCTGTTCCTTTTATGGTAACAGGTAATGTTTGGCGGAAATCGCCACCAAATATTACAATTTCACCTCCAAAAATTACAGTTGAGTTCATAATATCTCTAAGCATAAGGTCAAATTTTTCAATTACAGTACGATTTGCCATTGTAGCTTCATCCCATATAATTAGTTTTGCTATTTGTAGTAAGTAAGCTAGAGTACTTTGTTTTTGAACATTACATGATGTGGAATTATGTTCATCTATTAGAATTTTGAACCTTGAATGTGAGGTGCGACCCCCAGGAAGTAGGGATGCTGCTGCACCTGATGTAGCAGAGGCAAGGGCAATATGTTTTTCAGATCTTATAGTAGCAAGAAGTGCCCGATATAAAAATATTTTTCCAGTACCACCGGGACCATCAAGGAAAAACACTTTTGGGATATTTTTTTTTACACAGTACATGATACGGTTGTATGCAAGTTGTTGTTCTTTATTTAACTGTTTAATAGCTAACAGATCTTCTGGTGGTATAATAATATTTTGTTCAGTTTGAAGTTCTCTTGTCAAACTGTTTTCAAGATTTATGCTAAATTCTTTGCTTGGAGAAAAGTAATCTTCAAGATTTTTTCCCATTGAATAAAGATGATAAGCTATAGTATCTAATATTTTACAACGAATATTATCAACAGTTGGATTTTTATCTTGCCTAAAGTCTTCTCCTAAAAAGTCTTCATATTTTAATAAAAGTTTCTCTGGATTACAAGGATTGCAATAATATAGAAGGGTAGCAAATAATTGTCTCAAAGCAAATGGCATTAGATAAGTAGTACCTTCTTGGAGACAAAAATCAGCAGTACTATCATGTTGCATTAAACCTAAAGCTTGTGCAGCATGTTTATATGTATCAAATGTTATGCCTTTTACTGTTTTTAATTGTTTGAAAGATGTTGGTGCTCTAATGTGCATTAATAACAGCCTTAAATAAAATCTTTCTCCCTGAGATGGGTGACATATAAGAATACGTCCAATGACTTGCTGTTTTTTACGTGGTGACCATTCCCTAGAGGTACTATACCAAGTAAAATATTCTGGAAATTCAATGTACAAAAATTTTTTTTCTTGTGCATATTTGTCAGTTTCATTCATGTGAAAAAATTCTGTAAGCATGGTTTTTTTTAGCAACGGATTTCTGATAATACTACTTAATTTTTGATTTTCAGGAAAAGTAATAAGTTGTTCATTCTCTAAATGAATAGGTAAAGGTATAATAGCAGGGTGTATCTTATTAAGCTCAAATTTAAAAATACGCCAAACTGCTTCAGGGGCTGAAATCCATCTGCCATTAAGGAAATTTTTAATCTCATCAATTACAAGTTGCCCATCCTCTTCAATTGCTTTACACAATATTTTATCATGTCCTTTGTATATGTATTTATAAAGATATTTTATAGCTTGGATGGTAGAACATATTTCAACATTGATATGACAACCAAATTTAGCAAGTAAATATGGATTATAAGGCACAACCCATTGATTGTTAAGCCAGAATTCTCCAACTTTGACAGTTTGTTTATTATTCCTTCTTCGATATATTGGATAAGAGTTAAGTCCGCACTTTGTAATTTCTGAAAAAATCCTTTGGATAATTAAATTTGCAATTTTTGTTATTTTTCATGCACATGCAGTTCCTATTAAAGTTACCACATGGACCATGAATCATGTGCTTTTTTACAAGATCAAATAAATATTTATTGGTTTCTGAATTAGGTAATTCAGCACACACAATTCTATCAAATGCTTCAGCAGAAAACATTTTGCTTGCTAAGTTAAGAATTAGTAAAAAATGAGAATGAGGTAGACTTCTTTTTTGAAATTCAATAACATATGTGTAAGCTATAACTACACCGAAAATATTATTTTCAAGTAATTCTTTTTTTAACATTTCTAATTTTGCATGAAATACTCTAGTAACTATATCTGGTCTGTTTTGAGATTCATCAGATTGTAAACAGAAAGATTTTATTTCAGACCAATTTGGATTTGTTGTTATGGTCAGAAAAATATCTGGTTTCCCATAACGCTGAACAAGAGCTAAAGCATCTACATATCTTTTTCGCATATCTCTAGGCCCTCCTATGAAAGATTTTGGTAATATCACTCGTTTACCAATTTCAGTACCAGTGTTATGACCTTAAGAAATACCATCTAGAAGACCACGATAAACATCAGTTCTTAATCGGCTTTGCATTTCATCTGTTTTATAAAATTGTAACCTTGATGTTTCAATTTTAATATACATATCTATAATGTATTGTTGTAATAATCTGCCAACGTGAAGCAAAAAAGATTTATCATTATTTCTAACTTGTAGTTTATAACAGTAATATTCACGACATGAAACTTCATCTCTTGTGTTTTTTCTTTTCTTCATACCTACGTCATAGGAAACTATTGTTGAGTTCATTATGTTCCTAATTTTTACACATTAGGGAAAAAAACAAATGTAAATGTTTTTGTTACCTTCTATTTCTGCTTCTAGAAAATCATCAGAATTGCTGTAATTTTCAATTCTGTGCATAACTTCTCCACTACATGTTTCTTTAGAAACACCAATTCCCAAGGGCTTCAATCTTTTAATTGATCGATGCCACCCAGGATTTCCAGTAGGAAATATAAGTGGATATTGTAGTGGATCATAACATCCAAAATAACTTTGAATAATTTGAGATTTATTATCATTAAAATTAGTTTTAGGATATATTTGAATATGTTGACCTGTGATTTGATCAGACTCTTTGGTTTCTAACCATATTCCTGCCACTTGAGATACATATGGTTTATTATATGTGTTATTATCAAATGTTGGATTAGCTTGTAAAGCAATTCTAAATGCCAATAAATTATCAACATTGTTTAATGTTCGGAAAAAATGTGCATAAGGGTTTTGTTTCAGAATGTCCATTAAATTTTTTATGATATTCTCTTTGAATTTTTTTGAACTTATGGACAGTCTGTTTTCAATTTCATGTTCTGTATCATAAAAGTAAAGCTGTAAATTTTGTGGTTTTTCATTTTCAGGTGGCACTAAAGTAGGCATAAAATGATAAAGTTGTCCCTGAACACGAAATGTGTATACACCCTTATTTCTTTGAGCTAAAGATTTATCATAATGAACTCCTAATGATGTAAATGCAAACATATTATTATAACTACGCACACAAGTTTGAAAATGTTTACACTCTTCAGATTTTTCTGTATACAGTTTTACTAAATCTACTGGCATTATTGTTTCCCGAAGTTTTATCTCTCCAAATGAACAACAAAAGCCATGTGATTCAGAATGTAAACGCTTTGCACCACAAAATTTACAATCAGGTGCATCAGGTAGTAAATCACCAACAGTTACTATGTGTTTTAGAGGGTCAGCAATTTGTTCATATATGTGTGTACTACAGTTAGTGTTTACTGATTGTTCATGCATACGGGTTTTACGCCGTATGTTTCTTT